CAATCAGCCGGCTCCGCGGGCCGGCACACGAATTTATCGCGGGCGCAAAAACTGCGAACACATTGTTGGAAAGGCGCCAGGTAACGCCACCATCCCCGATTTCCACTGTTCTAGCCAGAGCCGAGCGTATCTGCGTCCCGCTCTAACGTCAGCGCGATAAATCCATTTTTTCCCCGGCCACGGGGCGCGATTCCCGAGCCTCGCTGCTTTGCGCGTTACCTTCGTCGAACTTTCTTTTCCCTTTGATTTCCTTTATCCTTCTCCGTCCGCAAAAGTCGCGGGGAGAAAAAGTTTCTTGACCGTCCGTGGGACACGTAGCGTTACTGCTTGTCTCATCGATTACCGGCGCGGGTCGCTGTTGTAGCTTTCATCTTGGGGTGTTTCTTTTTTTCGTTTGAATTTGGTTTTCTGTTTGGACGTTTCCGGGAATTGCTTTTCGAGGGTTTTATGGGAGACTTGTGTGGGGACAGTGTATATTGAAGTTTCGTGGATTTTAGTAAAATCATATATATTTCTATCGGAGACTAAATAAATAAAAGAATATTAACTGAAAATTTGCGGTGTCGTTATTACCTATACGAGTCAGCCGTTAAATTTACTTTTCGTATCTTATATTCATGTTTTCTTATTTGTCCTCTCTTTCTTTTGTTTACTGTTTCGCTCTCTCCGTCTCGCACCCCTTCGTTTTGCATTCATGTTTTACATTCGCGCAATCACGGGCACTTGCTGTTTTGACAACTCGGAAGGCCGCGGTCTTTTATATATGTATATATTTCATCCTTAGGCCTCCTATTTTATGCATTTGTCAAACAAGACCGGGCTCGACCATATGATCAGTCTATTCCTGTCATTCATCCCTATATTATTGTTTCGTGGCGCAACACCTATATTTACCTGTATTAACCTTTTGACCTACTCCTATCAGACTTATGACGAAAATTTTAAACTGCATTTTACAAATCTAAGTGTCATTTATTTTTTTTAAATATAAATTCGATATTACTGTTCTATTATTGATTGATAACCCATTGAATAAACGTAGACATAGATCAAAATTTCTTCTCCTAATGAATCGTTAACGATAAAGTAGCCGTATCGATCATAGTTAAGAAATAAATCATAGAACAAGTTTAATTACATATTCAAATAAGTCACCCATACTAACCTATGCAGTCCCAGTTTTAAATGAGCACCCCTTATATTTCAATCACATTTCCCTTCACATTTACTCACATTCCTTTCGAATGCCACTCTCAAATCAATATTATCCTTTAATTCCCTTCCACGTTAGGTGGCACCTACGCTACTTCACTTCTCAAATTAATATCCCCTACTTAACAAGTTAAACGCTACGAAAATCTGAACTGTTTTTCAGTTATTCTGTCGTAGCAAAGAAAAGCAGGAACAATTATGCATTATTTAGTGTTCCAATTCTCGCATTACACTATCATCAACTTAGTCACGTTATTAACACTAGAACTATCGAGTAATTCAATTAGATTTTCTAATTTTCCCATAGAAACTCTAATATCGTGTCTCTTGAGATTTCAATCGATTTATAATTCAGTTTGCGTATTTTTAAATCAATTTCACTACTCATTTCCCTAAGGAGCATCTGTTCATTTTCAATAGCTGCAGAAGAAGAATCTAGGAATGGATCATTTTGACCCATTTGGTGGTTCTAGTGTTAAACATTTTCATTGGACATCGGTTGTCTTGCATGTTACGATTGTTTACAAGTAATTCAGAAACGCCAGTCATCGGTCACTGACGTGATGCTTAACATATTAAATCTCATCCCTCGCAAATTACATTTTCATTTTCATACGTGTCCCCATCTTTTCCTCCAGAGATCCAAACATAAATACACGGTACCGCTAAAAACGTGAAACGCTCACGCGGTTACGTTCCCGCGTTCTCACGGCCGGCGACGGAGATGAACGGAACTTTAACGTGGCGTCATCGTCGCCGGGTAACTCGAGGGGAAGGGCTAAACGATCCGGCGTTACGGGTCGCGTGCTTCGTTCCGGTGACGAACGACATATTTCCGAGTTTACTCGGGCATCGAGATAAAAGGACAACGGAAGCCCGGCTGTGGGATGGACGATCGGGGTTTGTTCGTTCCATTTCCCCATTGCCGAGGCTGAGCCAGCCAGCCAGAAAATTCGGTGAGGTCCGATTAATCCGGGGATTAGCGGATAGATCTACCCCCTAGATCACGGGGTTTGAACCCGTCGCGCGACGGTTTCGCATTCGTGGCCGTGCCAGTCGTTTCAGTAACGGCGGTTTGTGAAGCGATCGCGATAACCTGGCCCCATGGTCCACGAGGTAATGCTCCTCGGCCTTATCGCAGGGCTGATATTCTTTTCATCGTCATTCACCCCTTCCGCGTTTCGTTGCTGTTTCCTGCGGATCCCTGCACCTCGGAAGATCGAGGAAGATAAAAGGAAAGTGGCTGGCGCGCGTGAAAATTGTTGCTCCGAGAGAATAGAATGGGAACAACGGCGTAAACGTTCTTGCTATTGTTTGGGTAGTCAGTGTGCATTCTTTTCTGGAGCATTGTGCACTAGTGAAGCTTCTGAGAATAATTGTCAGGTATTCGAGTGACTTCTGACGGATTCCTGCGGTGTTATTCCGGAGGAATACGTATTTTCTTAGATCTTTGATATTCGATAGAAAATGGATGTACGATGTAGGAGGAAAATTGAATAATTTCCTAAGTGATGATCGAGTAGGACATTTATCAAAGTAGCAGTTCCTGTTAATATTTCTGCTTTACTTAAGTAAGATTAACAACTATGAACATTCAATTCATTTACACATGCTTCGGAAAGCATTCCGAAGGTGTCTATAAAAAATTAATTTACTTGGCAAAATTAACTTTTCAGTAGCGAAACGTACATAATCGCCTGCATTTACAGTTGCGAGCCGTCCTGTGAAACTTGCAGTTCCTTAGCGACTATATCAGGCGGTTGGCCTTCCAGTGGCCTTAAAGGGAGAGTTCAAATCGAGGGAAAGGCTCGATTGCGCGGAAAAGAGTGCAGGTCACCGTTGAACAGCGGCTGGAAAGCAAACACCGAGGCACGTTGCACAGCGAATAACGAAACTCGCGCGTTGAACAAGGGGTCGCGTCATTATCGTCCGTCGTTCGCCACCCTTCCCTTATTTAGCCTCCTTTAGCTTCTTTTTTCGTTTTCTCTCTCCGCCGTACTTTCGCCACTTATGCGCCGCTCATCAGCGTCGCCTTCTTTCTCGCTTCTTTTGTTCCTCTCTCGTTTACGCGGTGAGAACGGGACAAAGAGAGAGCCGGTAACCCTTGCACTTTCTCCTACGCGCGTTGTGCTTGCGCCACCCTCGGTGTTATTTGCGCCCTGTCGCCCCACGCCGCCGCCCCCCTCGACCGTGCCCCGTTTTTCCGGCGGAGAGCTTAGAGATTGTTTTAATACCCCCGATGGGCAGAACGGTGACCCAGTTCCGTGCCGGTGAATACGGACACGAGCCACGTTATTCAGAAGTCGGCCGGAGGCACGTGCGCGACATGTCCCGTCCGCGAAACTAGTCGGCCTCACCGATTGCCGCCTCTATCGACGAAAATGTTAACACTAAGTAAACCGACACTTTGTATACAGTTACTCCTACCAGTCGAATAAGTAATTACGAAATACAGGTATACATTTTTCTTAATCGAAGCAGAAAAGGAAGACAAGAATTAAGAAACTGATTAATGTGTCAATATAGGAATTGGTATGAAGATAAATGAAGAAAGGAAAATTCAGAATTTTAACTCAAATTTGAAAATCGGTCATTTAATCGGTACGTTTAGGGTTAATACTTGATTCGTGGACACTTATTAGATACTTCGTTGAGGAATTAATAAGAGTTTTAAAATAGAGGATTAGAGTAGGGATTCTTTTAATCACGCCTTTGAAAATTGAAACCTATGTCAAATAGTGTTTATGAAAATGAATATCTCTTAAATAGATAGAACCATTTCGAACGATAACTTTGATAATTAAAAACTTCTATGACTTGAAAATAAAGAGAACAAGAAAACGAAATAAAGAAGTCAAAGAACAGCACGCTGCCGACAGAACTGGATACTAATTAAACGAAACCTAACGAAGATGAAGTCGAAAGGTCGATGGCGAGAAAAATAAAGTTTTTCAATTTTACTTTTATCACATCCTCGCAAAATAAAACTTTACTCTTTCCTGAAATGTACTTAATTCCACGGTATAGTTACACTGTTTTGTTATCTTTTACATTGAAGAGCTGTAAATTTTACGAGCTATAAATGCTGCAGTTTATTTAATAGTTATTCCTGTCTTTCATCCGTTACGCGAATAAAACTTCGCCCGACACTGGTATCCGGTTCCCGCTGATTGGAACTCTCGCCCGATCGCCTTTAACGATCTTTCCCCCCGATTTGTCGCGCGCGAACGAAGAATGGAACCCATCGATGAACTCGACGAGGTCGTTACCGCGGGCGCGGAACTTTCTTCGATGGAAAATGCACCTGTGCGCTTGATGCGACCGGGGTAATTCCCTTTCAGCCCCCTTGATAAAAGTCTGCCAGCTTCCGTGACTACTTAATTCCTCGCCTGCCAGCGGTTATTCGATGTCCCTTTAACTTTTTGAGTCCCGAGACCGCATAGTCGCGGTTTGGCACTGTTGTATGATGCGGGGGTAGCTCGCTAATTTTTCACCTGTTTTTATATAACTTCACGACAAACGTGATTCCTTGAGAAATTAATCGCGCAATTTAGGTTTACGCGCGTGTAAGAATTATAACTGTGATGTTCAGGTGCAATAGTTTAATTAACAGTAACAAATATACGAGATATACGACAACGGAAATTGGTGTGGAAAACTTCGTGTTTTCAGGTCAACGTTTTATAGTGACCTCTTCGCTTCTTGGACTGCATTGTCTTAAATACGCACGATACGAGTCACTCACCAATGTGGTTTCTAGGAAACGAAAACTGAAAAATTGAATGTTTCGGCTTCTGAAGTTATTATACAAAATATTCAGAAATTATAAAATATGGCTTCCATATACTAGTTTAACCCATCAAGAACTTTATTAGATGTAAGTCAACTGCTGATCAAACTGTCTAGATCAAAGGCACGGTCTGCAGAATCTGTAACACGAGACGATGAAGAGGAAGCTGATAGTTGCCCGGAATTAAAGATAACGCTTACCTCCGGGTAAGTTTTCACGTAACACTTGGCCATCTGATAGGCCTTGTCACAAGAATCGGTTGCGGCTGGAAACAAATGGGTTTGTTAAAGCAAACTCTCCACCCTAAAGAGTCACTTAACCCTAGAAAGACTGAAGTAGAGGTTTCTCAAGTGCTCTAGGTGCTAAGTATCGAAAATACGTTATTTATTTCTAGTCTGACATGCTTCGCAGTGGAATACTTTTACGTCGGAAATAAGTGAAATTATTTGGTCGGTTGATTAATTGATAGTTGATCAAACAACATTATTCGAAACAGGTGATTGCTCAGACTATGTAAATCTAATACTCCTGCACAACTCACGGACTGATTTGCATTTGTTGAACAGTTGTTTCGAGGAGGCCTGCAAACTTCTCGGTATGTGCCTAAGAGCCCTCTGCACGTCTATTTCCGCATTGTCGTTCAGAATGCCGTGTCTCACCATGAAACACTTCACGTAACACTTCAGCTTCGGGTCTTCGTGCTCGAAGTTGCCGGACTTCATTCGCCTCAACGACGCTGAAACGTTAAACAGAGACGGAACGTTCTTTGATCTATGAACTGTGGACTTTTACACAAATGTGTACTCTAACAGATGAATCTATCGAGCCGGGGTTGAATGATATGTTTATCTTCTTTGAAAAAGTTTCGATAGTCCCAGGGTAAAGCGAAATCTTTACGGACTTCCGATCGAAGTTTTTACTATATTGCGTTCGGCACTCCAGCGTTTGCTATAAATCAGTGATTCTCAACCTCCTTCGAGTCACATTTTTCGCACCAAAGTATTCTTAACGATTATTCCATGACATTTACTTATCAATTTATCATTCGTTATTAATAATAATCTTCCTAATGCGGTGATGATTTTATGAAACGAACAAGTAATTATTCAATACGATGAATTATCTGCAACCCGAATTTCAACAGATTTCATATCAAAAGAAATAGCAAATAAAATGCATGCATACATATTAGGTATATTAAAAAGTGAATGAAAATGAGAAACTAGTTATGTTTCCAGAATCATCATTCTAGCTTTGAGAAACACTGCTATAAACGCGTAAAACCCGCAGTCTGCCGAACTCTTGAATGCTTGATAGATTACCCCATGAAACCTTCGACTCCCTGCGGCAGTCTTTCCTGATGTCCGCCCCAATCGGGTCCTGAAAGGCAAACAGATTCCTCGTGAAACTTCGAAACGAAACTACCCTGGAAAGGATTGGAAGTGAAGGGCAAAATCTCTCTTGGTCCGCTCACCAACGAAATTAGGGCGACTGCTAGGACCAACGGTAACAAACGATGGCCGAACATGTTGCACCGGCGTTTAAAATCCCGAGGGTATCGTTGGCCGTCGGTGGAAACGTACTGGCGACCTGCAGTGATTCCGAATAATACGACCAGGAACGTTATCAAGCCGATAAATTGGTTGTTGTTCCGCGGTTATTGAATAAAAGTCGAGATTAAGCTAACGAGATCGACAAATTAACGCTACGGCGATCAATCAAAAAAGGAAATGCAAAGCAATTCGATAACGCACCGCCCTGTGCAGTTGAAAATCCTTGTATTTTAGGCAAGGCAAGGCTATGATCGGATGATCAGTTGTGTAAACAATCCTAGAAACAAATGGATTCTCACGCAACGACAGTATTTTGAAGATCGGTGAAAGTACGAGTAGAATTATAAAGATATTGACATTGTTCAGACGCCAGTGTCCGCCAACGTTGTTAATGCTTCTGGATGGTCTGCAGATGTTGCAGCTGCAACGAAGTTGTCTTGGCGTTCAAACGAATATGACATTAATAAGGTGTATTGAATTGAATTAATTTAAGATGAATGAGTTGTATTGACCCTAGGTTACTGATGTCTCAAAATAAATGTCCCATTTATTTGTGTCTATAGAACAAGTGCTTACCGTTTGAATATGGCTTCGTAATCTAGGGTTGATACAGTAAGAAATGCACGCCGTTGATCGAGCACCCCCCAACAGTAGCAATATGGCGGAGAAACTTATTCATCAACCAAGTTCCACTTCGCCTCTCTTCCTGGCGGGATTAAGAAAATCAGCATTTTCTAACGACCGGTTTCTTATCGACCCCGGCCCATTAATCATAATCCTGTCACGGGCTAAGCGTATCGCCGATAATCGAGATGCACTAAATATCGGAAGCGGCGCGTGTTACACCGACTAAAGCTTCCGGTTCACCGGTACCGTTGAAAGTGGAGCGATTCTTCCTCGGACGGGGAAAAAGAAGATGAACGATAACGAGTCATTTTTTCGAGGGATCGAATCCAGTTTTATTTGTATAGTATCGTAACATGAAAGCCCATTTCCGTGACGAAAGAAAAAGGACGAGAATGTGGAAGGGAACTCGTGCAATTTTCATGGTCCATTTGACTTTGTGTCTGATTGATAGATATTTTTATACAGCTTCGAAAGCGCTCGAAATGGCCATCTTAAATCTAATCGCAGTCTCGTGCAGTTTCTGATCTCCGGAGAAATTCGTTTAACCCTTCAGTGCAGGGAGGAGGTCGCTACGAATTTATAGAACATTTTTGAAATATAATGTAACAGTGCGACTGAATTTATTACGAATCAGATTTTAGTATTATAAATCCTAATTTGTTCTTTGTATCGATATACTCGTCACACTTTGCGAAATCGTTATTCTCCAATACAGAGACAAATTAACGTACGTTTTAATAATTCAGGGTTAACGGAATTATCGACTACATAGTAAAGTCAATCGTACCATTCCTGTAATTAAAAGTTACTGAAACGTAACAATATCTGTACAATAGGAGTACAGATAACCAATGTTTATACCCATTGTTTTCATCTGCTTATTGTTCTCTGTCTTTATGGTTTAGGTTCTTCTTACATTGTCTGAGCGCGCAGTACGCATAAAAATTCTTATAATACAAAGGAACAGGGCCGCGCAAACTCGAGGGTGCAAGGGGTGCATTGCACTCGTGCGGCAACAAACAAATATATAATATTTATTGTATGCACCTAATATTTAATTTGAATTATGCGATACAGTATAATCGTTAACCCATCGCCGCACATTTTTAGTTTTAAAATCGTGCCCAGAAACGCAGTTTTTTAAAATTATTTGTTTTAACTTGTTCAAAATCAACTTCCATGTTATCTAGAATTACGTCATTTTTGTTGAATGTATTACTGAAAAATAAACAAATAAATGCATTAGTATAGTCCGTTAAATGGACGGCTATAGCTGTTGTTTGCGGTAATGGGTTAATAGTGTGAAGAGTGAGACGACGGACGGCCTTGCGTTATTGAAAGATCATAAGTATGTTTTTCTATTTTTTTAAAGCAGACCAATAACAGTTTGAATTCGAGCGGCAAATATTTGTTGCCCTTCTTTGTTGCACTTCTACGAAGGATGCATAGCGGCGAGGAAAACAAAAACCTGCGAAGAAAACCGTCGACAATGTATCAGTTTGCTTCGAGCAGTAGTCCTGTTTACTTCAGTGGAACTTGCTTAGAAGTGCTTAAGTATTCCTTCGCCGCGTTTAGCCACGTGCTACTCTACGACGATCATGGTATCGACATCGGGAAAAATGTCATGCAGTTGTTGCAACCTGCACCAAGTGAAACGGAATTACGTAACGGCCCAGCTGCAATCGTTCGAGGACAAGTTACGATGCAATTCGTGCCAATTGCCGGTTTTGGGCAACAAAGATGTTAGAATCGGCACGTCGAAACACAACTGCGATGTAGCTGATAATATTCTCATATATTGCATCCACATTGTCAAGAAAAAGAAGACTTCATTCAAGATCAATTCAATCAAAATCGGATACTACTTACTGCCGTTGAATTGCACAAAGGGTAAGCTCGAATTAACGGAAAGGTTTTGCATTCAAACTAAATAGGAACTGTTAATCATTTGATAATAGAATTCTTATGTTACTCTAGTGTCTAATTGCTTGTTAAATATTTTTATTCAACATCTTAAATTCCTGGGATACTTTTATGGTGATACGTGTTCGAATTGGTGGTCTTACAACCAAGGACTATTTATATAAATTTTATTTTCGTGTTTCGCATGGAAAATTTACATTTCTGGCAATGAAAAGGGGGTATTTGAGGAAGTGTGGTGGGGATGAGGTCGCATCGCGAAGTTGATAACCGCGGGAAACTATTTCTGTACTTTCCCCGAGGAGGATTAGAAGCATGAAAACAAGACTGGCGTATATAGTTGACGGTCGTCTGTTCCTGTCTCCGTTGCACCTGAAAGTTTTTGCGCATCGTTAGCCCGATTCTAGGAGAAGAGCGCTTTCCGCTGGACTAGAGCCTTTCAAATCGACTAGCCGCGCCAGTTTTACTTGTCGCGTGCGCGGTACGTTGCGCAGTCGGGAGGTCCGTGCTCTACACGCTGGATTGATCAAAGAATAAAGTTAGTGTTCGGTCGACGGTTACGTATTTTCATCTCCCGGCTGATTAGCAATCTGGCTCCGGCAGTCCCCGTGCGTATCAGCGATTCGGTTTTTTCGTGCCATAAACATCGGGACGGGTTGTGGGGAATTAGGTTATGTTGGTGGTCGAGAGAAACGTCAGTGGCGCTGTGGGCATCGCGACACGAGTATAATTAAAATCAATGTAACAGTGCAGTGTTTCGAGACGGTCGTGTTCCTCGGGTGCGAATATCTACTGTGTTCACTGGATAAGAGACATGTCAAACGGTCTGATCATGTTGAATAACGAGAAGGGCACTGCAGAGACAAGTACGGTATATTCTTGTATAGGCTCTTTTTAATTCAACGTTAAGCGTATTGCGGTACTCATTGGAAACCTCGTATCTTTCTCATTGTTTAGAGTACACGGCGTTCACGGTCGTTAACGTGACAACGTCTGGTCGGGACCGGTCACAGGAGGTACATATGACAGTGTTGAGCTTCCGTTAATTGCTGTTATTTTTGGAACAGAAACTTTGTTCCCCCAAGAGCTGTTAATTGTAGCTCACTGTCCCCTTCACAGATGGAGCAACCGAATATCTCGAGGCCTGTGCTGAAGAGGCCTGCAGAATCAGAACCAGAAGGTCAGTGGTTGGTTTAGTTATCATTTGCGATGCTATTGACCAACACTTAGTTGTCTCATATATGGGCATTAAGGTTTTCGAATTCTTAATAGGGGAGTCATGAGTCGAATACGTATCACTTTATAAGCATTCCAGGTTTAGAGGTCCTGCTTGCAAAGGAGACTTTTGGTCAATCGTTGAGCAAATTGATTTGTGTTTCTTATTCCACCAGGTAATACCAATCCGAAGAAACGTCACAAGAACCCGCAACCCAAAAATGCTGTGTGCGCATTGAACGAATTAAAGACTGGAGCAGTGTATAAAGTAGTAGACCAGACCGGTCCCACTCATGCTCCTATATTTACAATTGCTGTACAGATAGATGGACAAACTTATGAAGGCAAAGGTCGTACTAAAAAAATGGCGAAACATGCTGCTGCAGAGCTGGCATTGAGAAATATTATTCAGTTCAGGAACACGCCAGAGGTACACCAAGCGATAAACACTTGTCAGCCTTCCATGCCTCTCGAGCCAGATTTCACTAGCGACGTCACAGAGCGTGACAATCATCTAGTCAATGCATTTAAAACTCTAACGCAAGAACCAAAGAGCACAAATAAATTTTTAGAGAAAGGTCCTGTAGCGCTGATAAATGAATTGTACCCAGGGGTAGTATACAAATGTGTATCCGATAGTGGTGAAAGTTACGCAAAATTCACGATATCGGTAACCATCGACGGCGAGACGTTCGAGGGTACCGGACCTAGCAAAAAGTTAGCGAAAGCTGCCGCGAGCAAGGCGGCGTTAGCGAAACTGAGGAACGTCCACAGTTCCTCGTTTTGCATACCGCTGCCAGTTCGCGTTTTACCGAATTTCTCTAGTAGCGGACACTGGCAGGATCAGATGCAATTGCCGCAAATGCTGGCAGATAAAATCGGGAAAATGGTGAATCAAAAGTTCAGCGAACTGATACAGTCAAAACCACAGCATGCTAGGCGCAAAGTTCTGGCGGGCATCGTCCAGACTAAAGGCTCGGACGCTGAATTAATCTGTGTGACGACCGGTGAGAGTTCAGTTCTTCTGCGTACACTCGTAATTTCGAACCGAGAGCTTATATAAAACAATTGCTTTTTATTTCTTTTAAACGAAAAGGTACGAAATGCGTATCTGGGGAACATTTGAGTGTCAGCGGCGGTGCCCTAAACGATTGCCACGCGGAGGTGGTGGCGCGTAGGTGTCTATGCGAATACTTGTACAAGCAGTTAGAGCTGCACACGGAGGACCGAGCCGCGGAGTCCATTTTGGAACCCGCGAAGAAGGGTTTTAAACTGAAACAAGGCATTCAATTTCATTTGTACATTAACACCGCCCCGTGCGGTGACGCTAGAATCTTTTCCCCCCACGAGGAGAACGAGTCCGTCGACAAACATCCAAACCGTAGAGCTAGAGGTCAACTGAGGACAAAGATAGAATCTGGCGAGGGAACGATACCGGTGAAAAGCAGTGAGGGGATACAGACGTGGGACGGTGTGCTTATGGTGAGCAGTCATTATAGGATTTATCTTATTTACCCAAAGTTGGGTAAAATTTGTCAGAGAAACTATTCCGAGTACTGTTTAGATTAGATTCTACCCAGATATTAGAGGATATTAATCTTTATTCTATAACAGAGTATACCCTACTCTATGATACAGTAATCTAATGATAATCTTTGAGAGAGACATTTTTCAAACGTATCGCAACAAACAAGATATTTTATTTTTAAAGTTACACGAACGTTTTCAAATTAAACATATCACACTAGCAATTCGATATATTTTACTTGGCGTTGAACAACCTGCAGTGTACAAAACTGTTTTCTTTGGTTATCAGGGCCAAAGACTGCTGACGATGTCGTGTTCGGACAAAATAGCTCGATGGAACGTACTTGGTGTGCAAGGTGCACTTCTAAGCCACTTCATCGAGCCAATTTACTTCCACAGCATCGTTTTAGGCAGTCTATTGAACCCAAGCCACATGTACAGGGCGGTCTGCGGCCGTATCGAAAATACTATTCAGGGTTTGCCGCCACCGTATAGACTTAACAAGCCGCTAATGAGCCTCATTACGTCTTCGGAAGTTAGGCAACCCGGGAAAGCGCCCAACTACAGTGTAAACTGGACCATCGGTACGTGGCAACCCATCCAGGAGTTAGGTCCAGAGCTAGTTTAAGAACTCTGGTGTAAAACGCTTTTCGTCGGTGTTTCTCCACAGGTCAGGCAGATGCTGAGGTGATAAATTGCACCACGGGGAAGGACGAGTTAGGCAAACCGTCGAGGATATCAAAACAGGGTCTGTTCAGGAGGTTTTACAACTTGCTCGATAAACTCGACACGATAGACGACGCTGATAAGAATCAGTGCCGTCACTACCTGGACGCGAAATCGTCCGTGCAAAATTATTCGGTGAGTAGGCGATTAAATGTCGCCGATCTAATCATGAAGACGTTTCGAATTCACGGTTCTGTGGTTCAGCATTGTTTCTGTTTTCCGCTTTTTCTTTATGCGACAGCTTGCCAAGCATCAGTTGAAGGAGGCTTTTGTAAAAGCACACCTTGGGAGTTGGGTTAAAAAACCGATCGAACAAGACATGTTCGAGGTTGATATCTGACTAAATCAGGGTAACGATAAAACGACGACCAACGATACGACCGACTTTCGGGTGACAGATTATGTGGTTCCTACTGCAAACTAGATCGCTCGTTCAGCGTGTTATGATATGGCAGAATTCGGCATCAGTAAAGCATAAATCGTAGGATTTCACGCGTACTATCTCATCTTTGACTTTGCGTTGGGTGATACGTTTCGCGTGTATGTGTGTATGTATATATGTATATAATATGGGTACGCATATCCTCTATGTATATATGTACACACATACATATATGTATATCTCGTCATGCACATCGTGTTCAGTCTGTGCGTGAATCGAGAACGACGAGAAGGAAATGGCAGAGAGACGAATGTGAATCAGGTGCCGTGGACACGGCGAAATTTTTGGTCTTCAAGACGTCGGAGGTTTTACTATTCGATAGTTGCTCATTTTAAATAATAGGGTTTAATCGACGCGGCACGTTTCGATACTTCGAATTTTAATCTTAAATCGTTTTAGAGTAACGTCAATTTCGACAGACTATATAGACTGGTAGTAGAACGCGATTCCGGAACGAGCAGTGATTACATTCCGTCGGGCAGAAAAGACGGAAGTAGAAAGGTTTCACTGTAGCGAGCAGAGAATTTTATGTTTTGAAAGAACATATATACTTCGAGACATCTGTTTTTCACGAAGCAAGAGATTGTTGCACATATCCGTACCGTCAGTCTTCTCTTTTTCCAAGTGTTTTCACGTTGAAACGACCGGGATGGAAATCTCTCGCGGTTTCGTCGTTCCGACGTGCTCGTTTCTGGTCGTTCGAACGCAATTGAGGGGAGAGACTTAGAAGAAAGAAAAGAAGAACAAGAAACACTCGAAGAGGGAATATCTCGAGGTTTTAATCGTGCCTGCAGTATTTTTTTCTTAGGCGTTATAGGTATATAAAACAGTGATAATAACATGCATCACGTTACATCCCCGAAGGCTGTGACCGGAGTATAGAGAAATCGTCGACGTTGCGAATAGTTACATACATGTTTCGTCGCGGATGTTGATGAAAATGGAACAAGAATCGATTCCTTGTCGGCGTTGCGACAGATATATACTGTTGTCCTCTAGTCCTACTGTCAATGATCATGAGCGTAAAACAATTTTTCTCAGAATATTGACGATAACGTGTACAACACTTTGATCTTTTCTTTTACTTTTCGAACCAAGATGTATTTTTCAATGAATCAAATGTTCCCGTTTCTCGCGAATCGTCGACAACGAATCGACAGTTCGATGTTGTCACCGCTGAGTTTTCATAGGGAACAAATGAGGATATATTATTAGGATGAATGGGCTTGGGATGATCGGACGAGCGGATGGATCATACAAGTCAATAAGTAAATCAATAAGTACGTTTACGGTTACTAGTTTCTAGAGAATCCTAAGATCATTGCCTCACTGTGCCAGTTCTTATATAAAAGAAATTCATGCGATTCTGCCGTAGTGACACACTGCCCGGTGTCGGTCCAGTTTTGCGTGAGAAACTCGACGGCTATCCGCACGGAGAAAAGCAGGTTGGGTCAAATGAAGTATTATATATATTATATAATACGTATATATATATAATACATATATTACACATTCACAAGCGTGTGTGCTTGTCACTTGGAACGCCGTCACTTCCGGTCTAAAGTGTGCGTACCAGTCCGGATAGCGCGAATTCTCAGTATTAAGTTAGTACAAATCTCGGGCTTCGAGAAAATCTTCTTTATGTTGCCCATGAATTAACTCGAACCTTCGGCTGTTTGTTTCTTTTTTTTGTTGAATTTGAATTGTTAATTGTTTCCCCTTTGTATTACTAATTTTCTTGTACAGTAAGCGAACGACTAGAAAAAAA